GTTGGCTGAGAAGGGTGTGGTGGCTTGCTCCGGACACATATACAGGAGGCTTGGCGGTTGAAATAATCCTGTGAAGTCAAACATGCAGGAATCACCAGCAAACCCAGACCTCAGGCTCAAGGCTCAGTGCGGCCCGTTTGGATAGACTTTTGAAGTCGGTTAAGGTTAAAAACCTGGATAGACGAGGTTCTACGCAGAGTTTACCGCATCTTTCTCTGTCGCCTCAGTGAGAAGCTTACCTTCCTCACCTCGCTCTGGATACTGCTCCAAGTCTTTGATGACGAGCGGCGCATTAGTCTTGTCCCCTTCACGGTGGGCTTTCCAGCAGGTTGTGGCTCTGCCAGCAACACATGGGACCCGCTTGACGGGTCCGTCGAGGATAAGATGATCCGGCTGTCCATTGCGTGTAATGTTAATGGATTTCCTCCAATCCGATGTGCACATGATGGTGGGGTCATATCCTAACTGTGTATCATTCATCAGAAGAAATCCAGCATGGCTGAAACAAACCGGAGCCCATCCTCATGGATATTGAAGGGAGATGACGCGACGGCTCCCACGTGATCAAACTCCCACATTCGCATAATAGACCCCCACAGAGTAAAGCCCAGGGCAAATCGCCAAGTGTCTTGGGCAGTGAGAACCTCTCTTGCGTAGCGTCCCAGATCTCGCCACGTTTTCAACACTGAATCTTTTTTTGGGTTATACTTCAGCTCCCCTAGGACCAGAATCTGCGTCAATGAGATTTTGGACCTGTTACAAGCGAATCACAAACAATGCCGATATCCAGCTTGCAGTCAGCGGCAGACCCTGCCAACAGTCGATGAGGCTGTGCCAAAACCGTACACTGAGATGTTTCGGTAAATCTTCTTCAGCGGCCATGTCGCGAAGATTGTTGACCCAAGTAGAAAGCCAATCTAAGACTTCCCTCCCCCTGGCGCTCTCATGCCAATCCCGCCATCGACTATGGGTAACGATGGACTTGATCCTGCATTGAGACGGTCAAACACATCGAGAAGTTGGGTCTTACCCTCATCCCTGCCTACTATCATCCCATCTGCCTGCTTCCAAGCAAGCTCGCCGTCAACGTCAATCTCTTCAATGATTTTCCTCGTCATCCATCTCATCATCATCGAGAGGTATGACAGAAGTCTGGCCGCTGAACTGAGTCCATTATCAAGCTCAATATCAGAGCGAACTTCGTGTACAATTCATCCCATTGGCAGCTTTGAAAATGGAAAATGAAAACGTTAAACGGCCAATAATCTGTGTTCATTATCTCATTCGATGGAAAGTAACGCTCAATGGCCGGCCGGTTGAGAAGGTTACAGAACGCAACGTGGCGGTAAGACCAAGCGACCGTTGGGGGGATACTCTGAAAGACGAGGTTGAGAAAGTCAAACTCCGCAGGGTATTCCAGAACCGACAGGTTCGGTTACATGGCCATTTTGTTGCCTGAGTTGCTGAGAAAAACGGTGCCGGGGTTCTTTACTCTTGAATGGCTTCCGATCCCTAATACCAGGAAGCAGAAATCTTCTTTTGTAACTCGCCTGGTATGTGCTCTAGGACCGTACTTATGGCAAAACATATCCCGGCTTACCTTGAATTAGATATTCAGCTGCTCCTCATTCCCCATCCCTGAAGATCACCCAGTCTCCCCTTCTGAGAGACCCGGTCGATCATCGGAGTGTGGCGGCAGGGATGGGCAGTCCATATTTACACTGCACCAGTCTTGGCTACATTACTCTACAAAGGAGTTTTGCGTCTCCTTTAACTGCACAAATATTGTTTGCAGAGACAAGAGCATGACTAGAGAACCCAAGTTGCAAGGAGTCCTTTCAGAACCCAGGGCAATCACTTTCCTTCAAACTAGGATACAGACAGCTGTGGATGCATACTCTTTTAAAAGGACTACGAGTAGAAGCCCACATTTACATTCCTAGTTAGATATACAGATAGTTCTGATGATCCAGCTAACCCACTTGATTAGTTTCCCGCTTCTCATCTGCTCATTTCGCCTTCTTATTTGCTCTTACAGACTAAAGCAGAATTTTTCTGCCAGTCTCAAGATCCTTAACCTGCTTTTTCAACTGCTTGCGCTTCCTTCGCACAGAGGCTTCCTCCCCAACAATAATTTCTAATTGCTCAGGTGACAGGTTGTAGACCCAAGAGGGGGAGAACAATTTCATTGGAGCTTCCGGTCCTGTGACCAGGTAAAAGTCCGCCACTTGCATGCACATGTTGTCAATGAACCTCTTCCGAGCAACTTTGTAGTACAATTTCAATATATTGTGGATGTCTTGAACGGTCTGCTGTAGATTATTCATATGGTGAATCTTGGTTAGATCAGAAAGTCGAACACATTCCCCACTTGAAACGTTTTCATAATCCACGGAGAACGAAGACTTCTTCGCTTCAGAAGAGATGCGTTCCTGATGACTGAAATGAACATTAGTAACTTCATATTCATAACAGGATTGACTCTGACAATTTTTGTAGATTACTATTTAAATAATGATTCTGCGTCATTGGCGTACCTTCCCTCTCGATTCAGAGGAGGAAGTTCGTCGTCAAAAGAGCTTGTCGATATTTGTCGATAAGATCGTCCAACAGGAATGACAGGATGTTTTGACCTAGTCTCTGATCTCTACAGAATATGGTCAATGCCTTTTTGATGAATATATGGACCATGGATATGATGTCACAAATGTAGCCCTCGGCCAAAGACAGCCATTTTGCGGACTGTTTCTTCAGTACACTCGAGACTATCGACGAGTTAAACGTCCCGATCTCAAACCCACGAGACTCCCGATAGATATTCTCAATCCAAGCGAGAATACCTTGCGCCTTGGAGTCCTGGATTGAGACGTCAAACGTACTCCATATCTTGCCAACAACTGCAGCCCAAACAGCGCAAGCACAACTAAGTCAAAAGGTAACCAAGCTCCTAGTGAATACACATCATTCTCTCTAACCGCAATTTCAGCGAATGCTCAAACCAAGGCAGAAAGCTTCTCGGGTTCCAGGTAATCCACACCAAAGAACCCGGCACACCAACATGGCCACTATTCCCTGCGAGCATCTGTCTCGCCAACTCCTCCGCGACAGTCTCCGGCCTCCGCAGCGGATTGAACCTCGTATCCTCCGGAGTTGACCGCCCAACGAGCGCCGTCTGCGTGAATCTCTGCGTGAGCAACACTATCCGCACCCGCAGCGCGTGGTACCTCGTCACCAGTTCCACAGCCAGCCCCTCATGGAACGAAATCGCCGCGGCCTTGGTGGCAGAGTAATCGACGATATTGGGGGTGGTGGTGTACCCCGCCAGCGAGGCAACGGTGACGACCATGTGTGGCAGGAACTCGCGCGCAAGCCGCTAGTCCGCACGGGTGACCTCAAACTGCAGGTTGCCAGTGCAGACGCCGGCGTTGTAGGTGAAGACGGTGGGCTGGCCTAGGGTTCCGTTGATGTCGGCAGCGATGGCCGCGATGGCCGAGGGTGAGGTGACGTCGCGTTTGTGGAAGCGGACGGTGGGCGGGAAGCGGCTCGGATCCTTTTGTGGTGGTGGATGTCCAGGATCGCGACCTTGATGCCGCGGTTGCCGAGCAGATGGGCCATCTGTCTGCCTATCCCGTTGCTGCTACCCGGCAGCACGACCACCTGGCGGTTCCAGTCGAACCAGTCTGAGACACCGTTATTCAGGGTCTGGGTGTTGAGCCAGGCGTTAACACAGAGGAGGACGGCAAGGAAGGTGAGGATTCGAGGACCTTGAAGAGTTTCGCGTGCTCAAGGCTGATTTGGTTACTTTCACGGTGTATTGGGCCAGCAGCAGGAATAGGGAGCATCTTCCACGGACTCAGAAGCATGCTCTGAATCCATTTCCTTGACATCGGCAGTAAATCTTATTCTTCCAGAGAATATATCCCTTTAGGTTCGATAGCCTACAGGTAGATGACATTTGAGGTGTGAGGTGACCTTTGATCTCAAGCATAACCTTTTTGAGGAGTGATCTCATATATAGACGAACATAATGGTGTTGCTGATTATTCAGTACAGGGAGACTATAGGGAAAAGCTTCAGAAGCAGCTGAGGTGGGCTCTACAGTCCCTTGCCAATGCTGTCCAATCCAATGGCATGCTAATACTAATACTAGATATTCAGTGTTCATAGAATCTTATCCTATAATTTATGGGTATAATTAGTGCAATTCACTGGTCATAGATATTTTTCTCCATGTTGAATCATGCATTGTATGAGTAGAACTGGTAATACCCTCTAAGCAGGAATAAGTCTCTATTTTCTCTACAGACACACAATTATCCCTGTTATGCATCATGCACTCATGGAAAACAAAGAGAGCAAAGTACACTATAATGGAGATAATGACCCTTCAGGCATCCATCTGTCCAAGAATGCTGGTTACCATCATCCTTTGCAAATGCAACAAAACGATCCCTCCTAGAGATAAACCAACCTAATCACATAATGAGGTGTAACCTGCACAGTTTGAACAACAAGGAATAAGGTATCAAATCAAACAAAAAAAGGTCTGAGGCTAGATGATGCCGGTATGATCATAAAAATTTCAGGTAGCTACCCATCTGTTCCCAATGCGCAACAAAGTAAAAACGAAAAAAAAAAACATAACCTAAGATCCTGAAGACCTGCCCATGGATGAATGATGATCAGACAACGGAACACCGTGCAAGGGACCTATGTATGTATGGTATATATGAACTGTGCCATGTCAGGTATCAGTATATGCAAGGGAGTCAATGGTCAAAGAAAAGAAAATGGATAAACGAGGGGAGGGGTCGAGAAGACTATGTCCTAGAAATGAAAATAGATTTCGAAGGATCGGTATAGATTCAATAGTTGATGGTTGTAGAAAGCACGGTTTGAGTGGTGAGGTTTGTCTTTTCAGGCGACTCGCGGGAAGACCCTGGAGGCGACCACCCTCTGAATGTACAGAAAGGGGCAGCAAGACAGGAAGTGGAAGGAATCTAGCTGTAGGCGGATGAGAAACTCGTCGCTGGCCATCCGAAGATCTTCTCATAGATTTCAGTGAGGATCCGTGCATCGGCTCGTAGGGTAGGGGAGATATATCGGCTCTGCAATAGGAATTTTATTGTTCGCTTGAGCAGTTTTTCAAGCACATTTCGATCCACCAGCTCTGAGAGACAGGACATGTAGGTCGCAGACAGCACGAGCATATTGCCAAATTGCGCATGAGCAGTCCCAAAGATATTCGTCACAATCGGACGACCATCAATCCCATCGAAGGCCTCTGTACTCAGGATAGCAGAGTCAATGCATACTTTGCAGGCTCGTCGTAGCTTAGGCGGTAGATCTCGGTATGCAATGGCGCTCATCGAGCCTGGGCCTCCTTGAAAGGAAGGGGGGCAGCTATGGACGGCCGTGCCCATATCGCTGGACAGACGGGCCATGTTTATTGAGGGCGAAACCTGCTGAGATTTCGAGCCAGACAGAATGGACCCGGCGGGTGATTCGACTGATGCGGAGGTTGTATTAGGGGGAAGTCCAGCATAATGCAAAGCATGGTATAGAAGAGGACGGTGGATGATGTATCGTGCGCCATAATATTTGGCCCGCATGCGAGCCACATTTATGTCTTTTGAGGGTGGATCAGTGTCCTTCCATTTCATGATCTCTGGGAGACTATTTCGCCACATTTCTAGATTCATGCTAAGAATCTCGTGCACATTTGAGGTCCACCGGTTATTGCTCGAGCTGCTCTGGGTTGTAGTACTGCTGGAAGGATTAGCCGTGATTGCAGCGATCGCAGCGTTGACGGCGCTCGCGGAACTAGCGGCATTAGTGGCAATGCCTGGGTTTACAGCGTTGGAGTTTGGTTGTCCTATAGAGATATAATTAGCGGCGGGTTTCCTTGTGACATGGTGTCAGGTGCCTTACTCTCAACTTTGTACAGATCAGTGTGGACACGGTTAAGGACTTTCCTAAGGTGAATCTGGGAAGAATAGAAAAACATCATCATGGTACTGGGCGCGCCGATTTCGTTTGGCAAAGCAAGGGTGAAGCGGCCCTTTGGTAGGCTTATACGTGACTCTGCCCGAGAAATGCCGCTAGCAGGGAGATCAAGTTCTGCAAGAATATCACTCTCAAGCTGAAGACATGTCCAATACGCAAAGTCATAGAGGTCTTTCAGAGGGCCGTCCTGCATTTGGTCATAGCGTTTTGATCGGATGAGCGTTTGACAGGCGCGACCCGCTTGGAATATGTACGCATGACTCTGGACAGGATGCGCTAGTTGGCCGGCGTAAAGTCCTGCGAGCAAGCATGCTTGAACATGGAGCAAGCTATTGGCCCCTTGGAGGGGTCCAAGGATCTGCGTAGCATATGCATAATAAGATAAACCTGGAATGACATCAATGTTTCTAAGATGGCAATTGGCAGGAGATGGGCCGGATGACGCTGACTGCCCTCCGACACTTCTCCGCCCGTCAACGGGCGAAGGAGAAGGAATAGCGTGGGGATTTGATGTGTAAAAGCTCCCCTGCGCTGGAAGAATCATGTCAGATCCAGCGGGCGATAGGATGCTACGGGTGGGCGGTCCAGGAATCCACTCCTTGCGAAAATCCGGGGGGGTATCAGTGACAGGGCCGGGAACTGGTGGTCCCTGTTCGCAGATACTGCCTAGCGCAAGCACGAGAAGTAAAACGGCGTTGTCAATTGACTTCTCGATGCGATGGTTCATTGCAGAAGTTTGAAAATCGCATGCTGCACCTTGCAAAGTCTCACATGATCTTTTTCTTTTCGCACCTCGTGGCATCTCCCCGGTACCAGTAGGCGTCGACCCGCCAGGAGTCTTCGATAAGCAATAGAACTTGATAAATATTTCAATCTTCTTCTCCAGGTCACTCTGGTCGAGGAAGGGATGTAGTTTGTGCATGTGCTTCAGGTAACTGTGATGATAGCGATGGATGGTGTCTGGATCAGCCCATAGTGTACCGAACTCGTCCACACCCCTATCTTTAAGTTTCTGCGGGAAACCGCTGGGATGAGCGCTCTGTGACCAAGAACTACTTGGTGATGCTTGGTGAGTATCATCCCATCCACTGCTTGAATTTGAGCTAGGTAATGGGGTTGGCGACATGCGATCTTCACTTGTGTCGTCGCCCTCACCACGCCCATAGATACGAATCAAGCCACGTATCTCTTCTTTCCGCATCACATAATCCTCATCGTACTCACGGGGATAGAGCAGATTCTTAATCGACGGCCATGAGAGCAACTTGTGGGCAGCAGTTGTATGTTCCACGGGCATGGACAGCTCGCTGTCTTCCCTCTCCATATAACTCTGCCCTGCGGGTTCATTCGGGTCCAACTGCTGCATCCCTTCTCCATTGTTTGATTCCAACTCAAGCAAAGGATCAGCAGCACTCGGTTTCAGCAATCTATCTGTCTGCTTAGGTTGCATTGATCGGGCGGTATCTTTAACAGCCAAAATATTCGACTCTTTCACCCCGACCATATGGGAAATCTTAGCTATCGTAACCCCATGTTGTATCTGCACGGCTTGACAAGACGTCACACGCTCGTCGAGCTTATCTTCCACATATTGAAGCATGTCCAAGATCACCTGGGTCGCCTTTTCCTGTCTAGCTTGAGGGTCAGTATCAGATAACCAACCGACCGAAGAGTAGGCAGGTCACGCACTTGTGGGGGGGAACTTCTTTATAGACACATATCAAATTGTTCTCCTTGCAGTGGCTGCAGGCGGGTCGCCCTTCATCACACTTTGCCTTTCTTGTTCTACACTGGTCGCAGGCCTTTTGAAGACAATGAAGAGAAGCCCAAGTTAGTCTAGTTCCCTTGTATCATAGCAGTCTCGTTTTCTGCGCATAGAAAAGAGAATTACCTGTTGAGCACGGGCGGGCTTGCGCTGACGCATACCAACAGCTTGATTCTGGTAAGGGTTCGGCTCGTAGGGAGCTGGAGGCATCGTGTGTGAATATGGAGGAGGTTGTGGGGGACGATCGCCATTACTGCTCTGTTCCTGAGGGTGATATGTCATCCGCGGATGAAATTCGGGGGGCGCTGAGTGAGGAGGAGCGGGATGCGGGGGTGTCGAATGTGGCATGGAATCGTGCGAAGCTCCGTTCATAGGACGAAAGGTCGGCGGATGCGACTCTGTTGGGATGAGTCTGGGAGCAGGCAAATTATTTGGCCGACCATACGGCCCTTCGGGAGGTAGCTGAGGCAACTCCCGATTGGGTATGACAGGATAACCGTGGGGCGGCAGGGAAGGTTGGGGAGGATTGGAGGCCCGTTGCTGCTCTGCGTGATGATGCTCGAAGGAAGGCGGGTAGGGGCGCCATGGCTGATGGTATACTCCCGGCGCATTTGGCAGGCCATGCGCCGCCTCAGGAGGAATCCGATGATGCATTTGAGGAGGGGGGGGAGGGCCGGAGTAAGGAGGGAGTGATATTGGCTTATCGTCCGTTCCAATCATTTTGACAATGGTAGGTCCGCAGCTCCAGCCAGTGACTCCAGTTTGCTGTAGATCCGCTGCGAACGGTCTGTTCAGTGCGACAGTCATAAGGACATGTTGTAGTCCTGTAGAAATCACAATGTGCAAATGTCAAGTGAGCGGGTGAGGTGGAGGGATAGCGAGAGTTGGACAAAGCTGAAGAGCTTCCCAAAAGAGGTAATTCAGCCAGTCAATTCTTTGGCACTTGATAGTCTGCGCTCTGTGTCGTTGCAACCAGTAGCTCTGAATGATCAACAGACAGTCAGAGGGGCATTAATTAACAGCAACGGCAAACTCGCCGGGCTGTGAAACAGCTTTCCAATAGCTATCTGGGAAGAGTCAGTACATAATCCATTAACTAAGGTAGGAGAGAACCAAGGAAAGAAGTGAGAATTGGAGAAGAAAGCGATCGAAGCAAGGACAAACAGCCAGATGAACCAATCTTGTTGTCCCCTCATTTAGTGCCAAGCATGGTGAGATTGCGGGTCTCATATTGCTAAGCTGATTGGTCAGAGCATCAATACAGGAGATTATTCCGCCCTAGATCAGCCACTACTAAGGTAAGGGTGACCACTCAGCTCAGATGCGCGGACGCTACCTCATACGGAGCGAGAGGGGAACTAGGCCATCCACTACTGTACTACTGCCTAAGTCTTCAATCTGTGATTTAAATCTGTTAATCAACTTAAGCTCACCCCACTTAGAAACAAGTGGGTATTTGGTTATAGTATCGATCCCCTGGCTTGATGGTTTACAGGCTCATTCATAAGTAATTACATTTCTGACGCTTCCCTGGTCTCCTCCATTTCATTCCTGAGCGATTTGTAGATCAGGGTACTAAATACAGAGTACCTAGGTTTCAACTGACTCGTCAACGGCCTCTCGCATAGCCCGTCCGTGGCGCTGCCGCCGGATCTAGCTCCTATTCGCTGAACCAAGAGCTCCTAGCCCCTGAAATGTGGTGCGTCAGAGAGTAGGGGCTTTTTTTTCAGTTACCTGCGGGTAATAATACTAAATGCCACTATCTTCACGAATGTCATGATTAAACACTACTATCCTTAGAAATATATTTTAGAAACTTTCCCCCTCCATCGATAGTAAATATATACATTCTAACTATACAGGGTACTACCTGAACTATATGGCGATTCGATATTATAATATTGCGTGCGACCGCAGGAGGGTGGGAGTGGTGAAATGTAACCATGGTATGGAGTAAAAAACGATGTGTTCCTTTTGTACAAATAGTCCGCCGTAGCCGCAGTCAGGCGGCGGTGCCCGTCACGTGCCACCAGATCTCGATTTGAGGAGCCGCAGTGCCAGCACCAACCGCGCAATCTCCGCCACCGGTAATGCTGGAGGCAGATAGGTGTGTCCAGGCATACCGCAGCGATGCCTACCCCCCGTGGATGCCCGAACCATATGTGTAGGTTCGAATTGCCTTCCGGGTACGCTACACTGCGAATGTCGTGGTGGATTAGCGACCGCTCCTTCGTCTCCTCTATCACCACTTCCGGCGGCTCTCACCGGGGGTGCACCCGGGGCACCGCCCATGGTAGGCGTGCCTCCAGTTCGCTATGGTTAATGCCAGTTGCTAATTCAACTTATTCTTCCGCAGCCTTCAGCGGCATGTGTAGCAGCGGGTTCCAGTGGTGCCGACAGCGGTCCAGAATGTGCGTGCGAAGGCCGGAGTAGATGGGATACGGAGGAGGTCTGGATAGTGGCGCTGCCTAAGGACAAATGGCATTGGGGTGAGGTGCAGCTCAGTGTTGATGGCAGCCCCGCTGACCGTCCGGAACGCCCCGGCGATCAGTTTCCCCGCCCAGCATTGGATGCGGCTCAGCACATTCGCTTGCTGGCTGTGGAGGCGCTTTTTGACCCGGACTGGTTGCGCGTACTAGAACGAGGCCACATATAGCGCGATGGCGGTGATGCATGCCGTGTAGACGTGCCGAAGCTCCCGGAGCCGCAGGCCCCATTTGGAGCCGTCCAGCGCGCCGATAGTCTGGAGCCGGGGCTGTCCACATGCTTTAGGTGCGCTTCAAAGGCAAGGTGTCCATCGAGAATGACCCCAAGGAGCCGGGCTGTTTCGCTGCCCACGCGACCTTCCATCGCTTAGGTCCCATGGTTTGCCTGGCCTGTCCCCCGGGGTGGGCGGCTCGGCGCCGGCACCCCGACCCCCGCCCTGGGGGGTGAAAACGGATGAGCTGGAACTTTGAGGGGGTTCGATCGGGAGGCGTGGGGGGCGGCCCAGCGGTGGCACCCGCAGCCGATGACAGTTGGCGCGCTCGCTATCGCCAGTCACGAGCATTGTCGCATCGTCGATATACCCACGGGAATCTGTGCCTCATTCCGGGACCTCCTGCCGAATCAACCCCGCGTTGTAGAAGATGTAGAGAATTGGCGAGAGGGGGGAGCCTTGCGGGATGCCGCTGTCCACCTTTCGGGTCGGCATCGTATACTCCGGTAGCACTAGCAAGGTGGACCGACCCCGGAGGAAGCTGCTGAGCCAGTTGACATAGGGCTGGTCCTGCGTGAACGGAGGTTGTGCAGGAGTCGGTCATACGAGACATTATTAAAGGCGCCGGAGGTGTCAAGCAGAAGGGCGGCCACCACCTTCGCTCGACCTCTAGGGCCGCGTGGAGGGCGTTCTCCGTGCCCTGGCCCTTAGGGTCACCGAAGTGGTTATCTGGAAGCAACCCTTGGACCTCCGCCAGATAGCTCATGCGTGAGGCGATCAGAGCCACCAAGCAGCTTGCCGAATGTGTTGAGCAGGGCGATGGGTCGATATCTTTGGCACTGAGTAGTCTGGCTTGCGTGGTTTGCGGAGGGCGACTATAGCGGCATCCCGGAAGTGCTCCGGGCAGCGGCCAAGCTGGACACACTGGTTGTAGAGGCCTGTTAGGCTCGGGCCTACGCTCCGGCCGCAGCCTGCAGCACGCGGTCGGTAATGCCGTCTGTGCCCGGGTCCTTGTCTGCTTTAACAGCGTGGAGGGTGCGAAGCACCTCATGGTCCATGAATTCCGGCACGCTGATTGGCCTGTACGCCCCCTTGCGGGGGACCCGGATAGGGTGGTTGTAGGCCTGGTAGGGGCCCCGGCTCTTCGTCCAGCGGATGGCGGACGGCGTGCCCGACGTCTTCCATGTCCGCGATATCAGTGATCTGCTGCCGGAAGGCGCTGTGTCGACACCACTGCATCGCACGCCTGCAGGCCCGGGCCACCAAAACCAGCCGGCCCTCGCAGCGGTGCCTGCTCCGGTAGTTAGAGATGCTGTCGAATGTTTTTCTTCTCCCGGGGCAGACGCGGCACTCTGGGGTTGTTGTTGTTGTTATTGGATTAATTGTTGTCCGGCGGAGCCAAGGCGAAGCCCTGGCTCTAAGTTTTGGTCTTGTTGTTAAACAGGCCCGACTTGGAAATAAGTCTATCCCGGGTGCCGGCTTTAGTCCCTATTCGCTGGCCTCAGGGTTCTTGGCCGGGTTGGCCCCTCAGCCTCGCCTTGCAAAGTCCATTCAGTAAGCAGCGTGTGCGTGGTCGAGTAAAATAGCGCCATCTAGCTGAGTAGACTGCTCGTATACGGAGTAGTGTTCCTTTAAATGAAGCATGAAGTCTAAATGTAGCCTATACGACGTGAATACTAGAGACAATAAAGGGAGAACTCCTTTACATGAAGCAGCATTGAAAAGGCTACCTGGAAATGGCGGACCAGGTACTCTCCAGATATTGATATCAATGGGGCAGATTTCCTTGGAAGAACGTCGGTATGGCTGGTAAAGTAGCCAGTCGGCTACTGTCAGCCAGATGCGGTAACGTAATCGGACACCGAGCGAGCCACCCAAATATGATTTCGGCCGCGGTCGAAAGCCATGAGATATTACTACTACGCAATCAAAATGAAGCCATCTCTATATATAAAAGAATCAAATTATCTACTACGGCAGCTAGTTCTAATATGCCCAATTTGATGGCAGTTACTGCATTGTGGTGGTGCACGCTTTTTCTTAGGGATAGGCTCCATCATCTGTATAGCTTCTTGAGCAAGTTGCTGACCTTCAGCCCCTGTCAGGACCCCTCCAGTAGTAATAAAAGATCTAGGGGCTGCGCGCTTTCGCTTTTGCTTTTCATTTACTGCGCGAAGCTCTGCCATCTGGTGTCGTAATAGAATGACTTCATGCATGGTAGATTCAGCCGCTTTTGCTAGCTGACGAAGTGCTTCATTTGGAGGGCTTTCAGAGTTGCGTTGGATAAGTTGCTTTATATGCTGCATCTGCTTTTGCACCTCAGCAGCAGTATAAGGGGTCTTTGTAATCCATTCCCCCTCCGTAGGTCCAGGTCCATGCGCAGTAGTTGGAGGGGTGATATTCTTAATGGTAAGCTTATCTAGCACCCTTTGTGGATTTAAAGGCACTAAACCAGAAGCTTCAAACCCACTGCGGATATTCTTAGATGATAAGGCCTTTCGTGACTCTTTGTAAAGATCAAGAAAGTTTTCCTTATCAATATGATGAATACCATGTTGGATGCTTCTCATCACCTCTGCACCATATGCTTCCTTTAGGGGTGCAAAGCAGCCAACATCAAGAGGTTGCAGTTTATCAGATGAATGAGAAGGCATATAAAGAGGGATGATTTGATGGTCCTTGCAGAAAAGATCAAACTCTGCAGATTCATGGCTAGCATGGCCATCAAGAATCAAAAGCCGATATCTCCCTTGTGTACGCGCTGCAGTATGCTTTTGAAAGACCTTTTCTAACCAG